ACGGCCACCTTAGAACCTAGTTTTGTGCCAGCTGGACCACCCAGTGGGTAAGGCAGTGAAGCAAGTGTCATTCCCCACCTGCCTGCTCCCTCCCTGCCTGCTGTACATGCAAAGCCCCCCGCTTTAAAAGTCCCTGCTTTCTGCCCAAAAAGCAAAGCAGTACCCTTAAAAGCAGAAACCTGTACATTTTCCCCTAAGCTAAGCTTTGGAATGAAAAGTCACTTTTTTCTTTTCTTTTCTTTTCTTTTTTTTTGAGACAGAATCTCACTCTGTCATCCAGGCTGGAGTGCAGTGGCACAATCTCAGCTCACTGCAACCTCCACCTCCCTGGTTCAAGCAATTCTCCTGCCTCAGCCTCCTGAGTAGCTGGGACTACAGGTATACGCCACCATGCCTGGCTAATTTTTTGTAGAGACAGGGTTCACCATGCTGGCCAGGCTGGTCTCAAACTCCTGACCTTGTGATCCACCCACCTTGGCCTCCCAAAGTGCTGGCATTACAGGCGTGAGCCACCGCGCCTGGCCACAAAAGTGACTTTTTTCATGTCAGCCTTCACTCTTGTTTTTTGGTTTGTATGTTTATTTGTTTGTTTTTTGAGACAAGGTCTCACTCTGTCACCCAGGCTGGATTGCAGTGGTGCAATCTTGGCTCACTGCGACCTCTGCTCCTGCTTTCCCCAGGGCTTAAGCAATCCTCCCACTTCAGCCTCCCTAATAGCTGGGCCAACAGGTGCATGCCACCACGCCCTGCTATTGTTTTGTATTTTTAGAAGAGACACGTATCTTGCCATGTTGCACAGGCTTGCCTAAAACCTCTGTAGCTCTTGCTAATTGACCCCGTAGGTGGTGAGTGACTGAAGCTGTGTTTGGTTACAATGCTACTGAGTGCACTCCTTTACTCTCCAAGGTATCGCCTATAAAAACAAACAAAAAGCCACAAAAACCTACAAAAAGCTTCACCTGGGAGCCTCTGGCCTCCCAGGCTTCTTGATCTCTATTATTCCAGGACCTTAGCCCCATCCAGAATAATGAACCAAACACAGCTGAGGGCTCAACCTCTTGACCGTGTGTACAGGAGAAAGACTCAGGCACCGTGACTATTGAGCTGCAGTGAATAACCCAAGACCCTGAGCTTGAAGCAGCGGAGATGTACTCACATGGATGGGGATACGTGAGGGACTGCAGCCCTTGCAAAGGCTCAAAGACCATCTCCCTGAACAAGCCACGAGGACTCAACAAAGAAAAGCCAGAGAGTTTTACAAGGAAATGTGATTGGTTGGTTTTAATAAGTCCTTCACTTGTCAGTTGCCCACTAGCCAGTTAGGGGGAGCTCAGCCTGGCTGAGTGCTAAGTCTCAAGTCTGCTGAGCCCAGACAGAGCTGGGCACAAGTTCACCGTCAGCTGCTCTGCTTCCTCTTTAGGGAGCCCTGACTGCTGGAGTCTCACCCCCAAGGTGAGTGAGCACGCAGGCTCAAATCCCAGTTAAATGCTCTTACATCACTATGCCTTTGTACCGCAACTAGAAGAAAGCCAGACTCCTTACCAGGGCTGGTCCGGACCTACAAAACTGAGCCCTCACCCACCTCCCTGGCTGCACAGCTCACCGTAATTTCCCTCATCCACTTTTCTCTAGCCATGCTGGCCTTCTTTGCTGATCTTAAAGTACAGCAAGCAGCCGGGAGTGGTGGCTCACGCCTGTAATCCCAGCACTTTGGGAGGCCGAGGCGGGTGGATCATGAGGTCAGGCGATCTAGACCATCCTGGCTAACACAGTGAAACCCTGTCTCTACTAAAAATACAACAATTAGCTGGGCATGGTGGCACATACCTGTAGTCCCAGCCATTCGGGAGGCTGAGGCAGGAGAATCGCTTGAA